TTTGGATTAGAAACCCTATCGAAGGTATTAACTATTTCTTTTAGGCTTCTCGAGCTTCCTTCATCACAACCATCACAAACACAATTATATCATCTACAAACTGAAGGTGGCTCACAACTATGTCATTCCTTCCCACCCTCCAACCACTAAAGGAATTTGCCAAGTCAATTTTACTATCAACATACTTTAAAACTTCAGCAATTAGTGTGAAAAGTAAAGGGGATATGGGTTCATTTTGTCTCAAGCCCCTTTTTGTTAAGAAAAAATCTCTAGCTACTCCATTTATCAAAATTGAATAGTGTACAGAGCTAATACAACCTTTAATCCAATTCCTCCAATGGGTTCCCAACCCCATTTTTTCCATAATGCCAAGGAGAAATGACCAATTCACCATATCATAAGCCTTTTTTAGGTCCAGCTTACAAAAAGCCCTTTCCACCCCTCTTTTTCTTCTTTGCCACACACCCATTAGCTATTAGGATCTGATCCACAAATACATGCTTGTTTTGATTTCACAAATCGATGAATGAGAATGAGTGATTTCTTCTTTCTACCAACTTGGTAAGTGATTCTATGGTTTTTATCTTCTCTACTGGAAATCTTTGGAACCTATGATCTTTATTATGCTTTTTAATTAACCCTTAAGGTGTAAGTAAAGAAGAATAAGGTTTGAAGCTGAAGATATAGCAGATGATGACCTAGTTGCCAACATGTTGCCTAGGCAACAAGGCATACCAAAGGTGCTTAGTCTAAACATTATTGAAAAGACACCCATCTAGGTAATAAGGAGACACCTAGGTAACAAAAATTACAAGGCAAGCACCTTGTTGTAATATTCTTACTAATGTGTTTTGAGACATCCTATCATATAAATTTTACTTATGTTTATTTTAGGCTTTTACTGGTAAAGATCCAAGAATTTTTTGAGGTGGATTCCAAGGATGGCCAACAGCTTGGCTGATAATTTTGCAAGGATTGGTATGAACAGAATTGCTTTAGAATGGGGAATGCCAGCCAGGACTAAGGATAAATCTATAACAGTGTGAGGTGGCATTCGCTAAGTTTGAACTCTGATCTCTGAAAATCAAAAAAGTTCTTAAGAACAGTTCTGATTTCTCAACCATCTAAAATAACGTTTCTGCTTATCTGAAGTTATGTATGCAATAAATCCACTCAATATTCTGAATGTTGGAACCTCTCTGAATAATGCCTATTTTACAATTTTGCCCCTTTGAGTGTATAATCTATATTATATATGGAAATTTCTATGATGCCAGAAGGGTATACTACCAAAGAACTTTGACCAATCAGAAGCACCCACCCCTCCAGGAAATTTGATGAATACCAGTTGATTGGTTACTACTTCTGTGATAGTGATACTGGTTGATTGGCTATCATCTTTTTAGGTATCCTGCCTGTTCGACTTGAAGTTTGGGTTAGGGTTAGGGTTGAAAGTATGAACCCAACTTAACTTCAGGTTTAGGGGTGCAATTGAGCCGAGCCAAGCCGAACTTTGGCATTTTGGCTCACTTGAACTAAAATATTACTAGGTTTGAGTTCGAGTTCGAGTTTGAATTCAATTCAAACTATATTTTCTGGTTTAGCTCAGTTTAATTAAATACTCTCAAGTTTGGCTGGAAAGCTCGAAAACGAATATATTTTTATATTTTATAAATATATATGATATACGTTTTTATAATATATAGGATATTCTTATATTGTACATAGATTATAAAAATATTTTTTATAATATGTATTATAAAATATACTTTTACATTAATCGAGCCAGGCTTGCAAGCTTTCAAGATGAACTTTTTATTGGTCGAGCTTGAGTTTGAATAACTAATCGAGCTTACCCCGGGGTTCAAACTCAATTCAATCTCAATTAGAATCGAATTCGAGCCCAAACTATTCGATTAGAGCTCAATTAAATTGCATCCCTATTCTGGTTGGGTTAGGATTGAGGCCTTAGCCAACTCGAACCCAACTTAATTTCATATTTCTATGTATAATTATTATATGCATGTATGCATGTAGATATATATGAAACTATGCACGATGCATCTATAAATATGTGTACGAGTGTTTATATGCATGTACATATATATGAAACTATGCACGATGCATCTATAAATATGCGTACGAGTGTTTATATGCATGTCAACAGTTTTTTTTTTTTTTTGATGAATTATATGCATGTCAACAGTTGTAACTTTAAAGGCAAATTTTCTTTTACTAAAGCATGATAACTATGTTATTTTATATATAATAATGCTAAAAAACTGAATTGACTTCAACCCTTGAGTATAGAAAAAAAGAGCATTTGACAAAAGGAAGTAGAAAAGTGAGGACAACCAAAACTCAATCTGAACCTAGCCCAATCCTAATCCCAACCCAAAAACCTTGGGACGTATTAGGGTTAGGATTGGAGGTTCAACAGCTCAGCTTGGGTTAGAGTTTACTTAAATCCCAGCTAACCCAGCCCAAGTGCCTGACTTGCACCCCCTACAGTAAAAGGAAGCCACACTCTGACCATCCACATGCCCTGTACAATAACCTCTATACAGCAGACGGGAAAAACCCCAACCCTCTGACCCCTACTGGCTAGACAACTCCACCAAGAATATCAAATAGCAACCCTCCAACCCAACCTATCAAATAGCCCCAAAAATCTACTAAGAAACACAAAAGCATAGAAACACCTCCAGCAAACCAAAACCACAATTAACCCCCCAAATGCCCCTCCTTCCCAATCCAATAAACTTATTGAAGGGATCAAGCTGTACCTTCCCCCTTCTGCTTCTGCCCCTGCCTCTAGAACCTTCAACAAACCCTTCCTCAAGCTTCTGTCAGCCCTTCCCCCTAAATGCTACAGTCCCTACCACATCATACTTCAGAGATTCCAAACCACTCAGGAAGATAAATATTGACTCATGTCATAAACGCATCAGCATCAGTTGGCATCCTCACTTCCTCATTTGCAAATAACTTTCTCTTTCTTCCAACTGCCTAAACACAAACTTGGTCCTCTTCCCCCAAGAAAAGTGTAGTTGTTCAAGATTGCTATCAGTCTTGAGCACTAATAAATTTCAGGTTCAAAAAAGGAGAAAGAATAGAGAAAGGAGGAGAAAGAGAGAGTAGAGAGAGAGCAGTAGAAGACAAGATTTGAAAGGAATGACAGTATCTCCATATTCTGTCGCCGCCACTTTATTTAATATTTATAGGTTATGCTCATTACATGGAAAGGACAGATCTGCCCTTAGTCTTTACATAACAAATAGAGCAAAATAAGACTGAAACAAATAACAACTGAAACAACTAAATGACCAACAGCTGACCCTAGGAAGACTAGAACACCTTCTACCCTATGAACACAGTGGGACCGTAGCTGTGGGGCCCACATCAGTGTTCTCAACAAAAAGCATCTCAGAAACCTAGCCACTTTTGTTGATCTTCTAACTACTCTCCCCACAGGCAATTTTTTTGTTAAGCCCCTCCCCAGGGAATTGATTGCTGAGTTCAACCGTTTAATCAACAATTACATCCTCTTCCTACATGAGCAACTTCATTTTGGATGGATAAAACTCTTTTTTCTCTTGCATAAGCCTGAAGGAGGGATGAATACCTGTGGTTTAGGTCCCTAATCCCTTATATTCTAGATCTTTCGGTCATTGTTAATATGCTTTCTATCACTCTCTATCCCAGCCTTTTCAATCCTTCTTAATCAACAAAATGCAATTCTTAAATAAAATAAAGCTAATAGACATTATATGCCTATGCATATTTGTATACCACTCCTAATGGCAATTTTTGGATGCTAAATTAAGATATTTTTCATTTAAATTAGGAGGGGAAGGAGTAAAAGAAAATAACAAGTCAAATTGCACTTACCAGAACCCCATCCAGTTCTGATGCCACATGTTTCCTGGAAATTCCCTATAAACTGCAAGATAAGCAGCCAACTGAAGTCAAACTCCAGCAATGCCCTCGGCACAAGTAATGTATTCCAATTAACTGATCATGTAAATGCATCCATATAATAACAAATTGTTCTATATGGCATAATGCATAATACTATACAATGTAAGTGAGGTCTAACAAGAAAAGCACAGCCCACATGACCTGCCTTTTTTTGTTGTAGACTTCTATTTAATTTACAAATGATCAGGATAACAATGCATACTAGCGGTCATCCTAGTTTTGTTGTAACTCAATACCATGAGCAGAAAACTGATTTATAATGTCCTGCTTGAGCTTTTGAAGTTAGTTTATTTTTATTCATTCAACATTTTGATAGGTAAAGATTAACTAAAAAGGACAATGCCCACTGTTTGTCCCAGCTATCTGGGGTCTTGGGAGGGGTAGAAAGGGTACAGTCCTAACCTTTGGCATTTTTTACACAAAGTGGCCACCCACAGACTTGAACCCGTGTTCTCATGCTTGGCAGCCCATATTTTACAATTACACCAAGTAATGGCCTCTAAAGATCAACTACACCAAATATATGATTAAGTCAGGTTAATCATCCTTAAGCTCTAAAAGGATATTTTATCCTTATGGTAATGAATAACTTGCTATTGAAGTCTATGGGTGGTGGTAGCAAACCTAGAATCAAGTCTTCACCCAGGTTGGGGGGCTTGGGGTTTTGAGGAGGGCTACCCCTGTTGTCTAGCCCATTTGCCTACCAAAAATCTAACAACAACAAAGTATCATATCATGGAAAATGGCACCAGACAGCAAATATCAACATCCTACCCCCAACAGAAATAGCAAACATTAGCATCCTAACCCTACTTTCTGCAATTCTTTACCTTCTAATCTTCCAAATGCCAAGCCAGATCCATTTAAAGGGGATCATGAACACCAGATAACCACAATTACTAGTATTCACATCAACACATCCTTAAGTATTTAATTTATAAACAACAATAATTTATTTTTTGAAAAACAAAGAACAAATACAAGAGAGGGCACAGCCCACTTTTTCATGACATGTCATGCTTGTCAGTGAGCCTCAAAACCCAAGCTCGGCATGGCAGAAGGGTTTGGGCTGGTCCTAGCATGGCCCACTTGCTACAGTGGCCAAGTCTATCGGCCCACAAGCAGCCTGACCCACTTTATTGCTCTAGATGTAGTTCCCATGAATAATTGCCTACTAAGGACAGCAGAAAATGAATGGTGTTAAAGTTTGCAACTAGGGCAAACGTCTCCTTGTGATCAATCTTTTCCTTCTATATAAAACCTTTTGCTACTAACTTGGTTTTATATCTTTCCACTAAACCATCTGCCTTATACTTCACCATGGACGCCCATTTACAACCCACAGTGCTCATTTCCTCTGGTAGATCTACTAATTCACACATTTTGGCTTTCGCCAAAGCCCCCATTTCTTCATTCATTGCTTCTCTTCATTTAGGATCAATTAAAACTTTCTGAGTACCTAGAAGAAACATGGACAAAAGAAAGAATGAACATAAAAGAGCAATAACAAAGAACAAACTAGAATAAGAAACAAATTTAGCAATGGGATGTCACAAGCAGGTTTTGAGCAATGGGAAGATCCAAGTTTGAAATAGGAGGTGAAACATCAGAAACAAGGTTACTCGGATCCACAGGATTAGATTTATTAGAGTCCAGTAAGTTGTCATGACAAGATGGAGGATCCCTTTTCCTTTTTCTATGAAAGGTTCTCAACTCCTTTGGTTGTTCAAGATTGGCATCACCACCATCTGCATCATCCCCTATACTAGGAGCAGTGATAAAATTAATAGGAGTCTCACCAAATTCACCTGGACAAGTGTCAGAACTAGGAGGGTTAGGGAAAGAAGATGGAAGACTAGTAATGGATAATGGCACAAAAGGAGGAGAGGAAGAATCTTCTTCCACCCTACTAGTCTCTCCCTAAAGAGGATCTTTGGGAGATTGAAAAAAGGATTGAGACTCAAAGAAGACCACATCTTTGGTTACAAACTTTTTCCCAAATACAAGATCATTACACTAGTAGCACTTTTGTGTAAGAGAGTACCCAAGAAAGACACCACAGATAGCCCTAGTTCCAACTTTGTCTATTTAGGACCCTTAACATGAATAAAACAAACACACCCAAAGACTTTGGAAGGCAAAGGAAAGTCATCTTGAACAAGACAAAAGGATAGAGAACGGAGTTTGCATGCCCAACACCCTGGATAGCATCCTATGTATCAGATATGAGGCTATAAGAACCACCTAAGACCAATGATTCTTAGGCACCTTATACTAAAATAACAAGGCCCAAGTGGCCTCCAATAAACATTCATGCACTTAGTAACCCCATTTTGTTGAGGAGTACAAGCACATGAAGATTGATGTAGCACACCCACTTCTTCCAAAAACATATTCAAGGAGCTCTCAAAGTACTTAGCTGCATTGTCCAAGCGAAACTGCTTAATTCATTTGCCAAACCATGTTTCAATCATTTTACAGAATATCATTGTTTGTCTGTGGTACTTCTACATGACATTTTAACAAGTAATATCCATGTACATCTCAAACAATCATTCAACCTAAGAGCTTAAGCTATTAGATGAGGTCCCTAAGTAGGTTTTTATTCTCTAACATGCTCTCTCATGCAAAAGTCCATCGGGCTTGAAGAATGGACAAGCACAGGCCCACCAATATCTTGTGCTAAAACTTAATTAATTATGATGGGGGTGATGACAATCAAACACTAGACCACTAGGTCAACAAATTATGATACCATGTTTGTTGACCTACAATGGAATTTAGAATATAGAAAAGAGAGAAAGAAGAGAAGAAAGAGTTGATGGGCAGTAAAAATTGTTTCCAGCCAGCCCTAAAGTGATATTTATATTAAGATGATACCATTACATGAAAGGACACTTATACCCATGATTTTTTTATCAGCAGAAAAAATATATTTATTTTATTAGATTCAATTAAAGGGGTAGTTAATACAACTTGACGATAGGAAAGTCATCCCCATTTTTCAAACCCTAATTACGTAGATGCCCAAAACAATTGCTGCCTCATAACCCCTTGTTTGGCAAGGGAATCAGCTAACCCATTTGCACTTCTTCTAACCCACTTAAATTCAGCCTCTATCTGTAGCAAGCTTTTCCACTTCCCTTATCACATGTTTGAAAGTCCATGGAATACGTCCATTGCAGTTTTCCCATGAGGCAACTACTTTTGAATCCCCCTCCACCTCAACCCATCTGAAGCCCAATTGCTTTGCTAATCAGAGACCTTGTAATATGCCCACAATTCAACCTACCTTCAAGGAATTTCCTAGACCAATTGGCCTTGCAAATAAGGCCATAATCCTCCTTTCAGTTTCTGATTACCCCTCCTACTCCTGCCATCCCCAGGTTCCCAATTGAGCTTCCATCAAAATTCAACTTGACTTTATTGCTTTCTGGAGGTTTCCAGTCCACTCTTACTCTATCTTTTTCCCCTGATGGTCATGCTATTATAGTCCAGGCTCTTTGAATGTCAGTGACCGAGAAAGATTGGAAGCTATCCAATGTCTTTACCTATAATGCCACCTTTAACATTATGCTGTCTATCACTTTCTCTAGAGTCCTGCTTTTTTCAAAGAAGATCCTATTGTTCCTTTCTTCCCAAACCACCCAACAAATTGCTGCTTTAGTGGCTCTCAAAAGTATCTTCCCTCTTTTCTTTGGTTGCCTCAAGGAGTTAGGATTGAGCAATCCCACCACATCTTGAGGAGGTCCTTTCATTAAAAAAGGAAAAAGATTACAATCTACAAGGTGATAAGGAATCACCCGCAAACAAAACAACAGAACCAAATTGCTAGGGAGGAGAGATAAAATAAGCCAAGATACAAGATGAACCCCCACAATATCTCCCCAATTGTTCCCCAAATCTTCCTAGAAACTTGAAAAAAGTCTAGAGATGATGAAAACTGCAACTGATGTATTACCAGCTGCCTCAATCTTGCCTATATTCCCATACTTGTCTTCAAAAATTCTTCGATTCTTTTTCTTTCAAACATTCCAGCAACCTACAAGCGGGATACGACTCCAGAGCAATCTAGCTTACTTGCTTCCCCTCAACTTTGGCCGTGAAGGAAAACTTTCCGCAACAGATTCTGGCTGAAAGCCTGATATTCCAAACTTTCAAGCTTCCTCTGCCCAATCCCCACTATTAGTACCCCACAAATTGATCTTTAATTTCAATTCAAACACCTCCAACTTCGATTCCTGCAGAAGATTTACACCTAGTGCAAACTTTCTTAATACAATCATGACTATTATTCTTCTTCTTTCTTATCTCAGCCCCCTCACAATCCAGGAAACCAGAATCATTCTCTGAAACCTCTCTCCCCCCCCCCGAACCCCAAAAGGTGGTTATGCCTGTCAGTCCTCATCGACTAAACCATCGTCCCTCCCTTTCCCCTTCTTCCCACACCTCTCCCCCTCCCCTGAAACAATTATTTTTTTTATGATTTTCCCTTCTATTTTCTCTAACTGTTCTATGTCTCTCCTCACTGTTCCTTCCCCTCCCAGGGAAAACAGCCCAAGAGATTTACCTACCTTCACCTGTCTCTCCACCAAGCTACCAATATCTACCTTCCCTCTCTCAGAACATTCTTCCTCTTTTTCTTTCCCTTCTTCGACCTCCGCTGAAATTTCTCTTCCTTCCCCCAACCCTTCATCACCCTTTTTCAACTCTGAATTCTCCCTCTTTACATACTGCCTTCTATTATACACTTTGTGAGCTTCTCCCCCACTCCTCTTCCTCTTTCGGATAACTCCCTTCCTTCCCACATCTTCGGACTCCCTGCCCACCCCAGCTCCAACAACCTTCAAGATTCCAGCTCCAAGAGAAGAAGGGGAAGCAGGAACTACAGAGGGAAGGGAGGAGGGGAAAGACAGGGTTTCCAAACTTACCGCCTCGGTGGGGATAACAGAGAGGGCCTTG